TACTTTAATATTTTTCTAGCATTTTTTTTTTTAACAGCATTTTTTTTTTTAACAGTAGACAATTTTCAGCCTACTCTTCTGATTTGCCTTTGCTTTTAGTAGGCTAATTGCTGATCACAGTGGAGCTGAAGATAAGAACTGGAACTTGTGCTTGCTAAGTTCTTTGATTTTAACACTTCTAAATTATTTAGATTTATTTCAGAATTAGTCTAGGAAACTATTCAATGTAGCTGGACTCTGAAAACCGCTGGAGAATAGGTAGGATAGAAACCGAATTTGATTTACCCTAAATAATGAGACAAATGCCTTCAGATCTTCACTATTTCTTATTCATTACAGAAAAGAGAATTTTTATGGCCATTGTGCACACATCACAAACATCAGTAAAGTAACAAGAAGAAACAGAGAAACAGATTATTTCTTTATTAAATGAGGAAATGCTTGGGGTTTGCATTTTTGGTCTAGAATTTTCTTGTATTCTTTTTCTGATATGACAAGAGTTAGGTGAAAATGAATAGCACTTCCTCTTCATATCTGTTTACACAAATGTTTGAACAAAACCATAGCCCTTGAAGGTTCGTCAGCTCAATGTGGACTGAAAGCTGTTACACCAGCTATCATTAAGGGTCCAGGAAGAAGCAGGAGTCTGTGTTTCTTCACTGTTTCAGTCAGGAACTTTGGATTATTATGAAAGGCAGGCACCTGCTGGACTGTCAGATGTGGCACAGTGTGTACTTTTTCCTTGAATTTGCCCTGGTAAAGGAAGATGCCTAGCTCCATTTGAAGCAGTCACAAAGAGGAATGAGGCAGAGCTGGGCAGTAGCATCTCTTCTCCAGCATGCCTGCCAGCCCTCAGTGAAAACACATCATCCCAGTAAAGTGCTGGAGATGGGCATGGTTGTTTAGCTACAGATATTAGAACTAGAATTTGGGAAAAGTTATTTACCCTAGACAGTGTAAAAATATAGCACTGAAAAATATTTGGTTAGTTTTAGCTGTCAGTATATTGTATATTTTTTGGTGGGGTTCTCTGTGACTACTTATTCGCTAAGAAATGTATATGCACATGGACTCGTATTTACTTGTATTTATTAGCTCAGATAGCAATCATACCTAGATAATAATTGGCTTTGTTTCAATAATGACAGTGATAATCGTTGCTATTACAGAAGTAGGAACAGAACAAAGTGTGGATGTGGGGGTTCACTGACTCGTGGACTGTACTTACTATTTTTGGTCTCTAATGAAAAAAGAAAAGGAAAAAAATCAGGTAGAAACAGTACTGGTAAAACTAATTCTCGTGAGACTCAGACTATCTGACATGATGTAGTGTACGGTGGGAGCTGTGATAGTCCAGAAGCCTGGACAACAAGGTATGACTTAATCATGATTTCTGCTTATCACTGGCACTTGGAAACTGCTTTGGTTTGCTTTCACGTCTATAACCAACCTGTCCTCACCTGAGAAGACGGGGAGGAAAGTTAGGGGAGGGAGGGAAGAAGGCACTTCTTCCATTTTACATCTGCGCAGGCAGCATTTGCCTGGGAAGGTAATTGGTCCTTGCACAATATATTTGTTTCAGAGTTTTTATTTAAATTCCATCTTATAATTTTGAGTAGGTGTCACCAGATTGGTTTTGGCTTGTATCTTTTTCAGGAATTCAGTCATAAGTTGCAGTCTAAGCAGTCAGCTCTTACCTCTGTGACTGAGAAGATGAACAAGCTAACCCAAGGACAGGAATCACCTGAACACAAGGAAATAGGAGAACTGAGCAACCAGTGGCTGGACCTCTGCCTTCAGGCACACAGTTTGCTTATACAGAGAGAGGAGGATCTGCAGAGGACGGGGGATTACCATGATCGCATGAATGTAGTTGAAACTTTCTTGGAAAAGCTCACAAAAGAGTGGGACAACCTGGCTAGGTAAAAAAGGAGTAGCGCACACAAAGCTGACTTAGTGCATATACGCTGAAAGAGCTGTTTACAGAGTGTCTTTAAGTTGGATCCGCTAAAAATCCCTTTTTCCATTTTTATTTGAAAGCAAGCCTCTCTTATTAAATATAGGACAATTACTTGTATTGAAATAAAAAGAGCTTGAGAAGCCAGATCTTCAGTGTTTGTCTTTAAGGCAAGTACTGATTGATCCCATCTCGGGGTATAGCATTTTGTGATATCTCAGTAATTTTGACTATCTTATTTGAACTCTTTCATTTGTGTTTACTGTGTTTCTTGTGTGTTTTCCATTATGATGTTGTGTTTTATCTATTTGTCTATTACATTATTTGGTGCTGCTAATTGATTGCAGCTCCTTTGTGTAGCATAAACACACCAGCTGTGTGTAAAATTGTGAGTCTGTTACTGCTGCTGTCACTGTCATGGAACAAGATTCACTTCAACTTCAGTACTTGTTCATATGTGCGATAGAACCAGTATGCTCTGTAGTATTTGTGTTAATTTGTATGGTCAGCCTGATGAGCATATTGCAGATGAAAGGGAGAGGAATAAAAATGTTAAACTTTTTGATTAATATTCAAAACTGGTACCTTCAAAAGAATCTGAAAACTGTAGGTATTTATATCATATTGATTTATGGTAGGCTTGTAATTCGTCCTGACCTCTTTTAAAAGTCTGTCTTGAAATAGGATCTAATAGTTCGTTTCTGTTGTGTCTGTTTTGATAACAGATCTGATGCTGAAAGTACAAATGTGCACCTTGAAGCTTTGCAAAAATTGGCACTGGCACTACAGGAAAGGAGATTTGCTCTGGAAGATTTGAAAGATCAGAAACAGAAGATGACAGAACATCTGAATCTTGATGACAAAGAATTAGTAAAGGAGCAATTTGGTCATTTCGAGCAACGCTGGACTCAGCTGGAGGACCTTGTCAAAAGGAAAATTCAAGTTTCTGTTTCAACTTTAGAAGAACTCAGTTTGGTGCATTCCAAATTTCAGGAACTAATGGAATGGGCAGAAGAGCAGCAACCTAGTATCTCAGAGGCTCTTAAACAGAGCCCTCCTCCAGATTTGGCTCAGAGTCTTCTCATGGATCATCTTACTATTTGCAGTGACCTTGAAGCCAAACAAATTGTTCTGAAGACGCTTGTGAAAGATGCTGATAGGGTGATGACCAACCTAGGGCTCAATGAAAGGCAGGAGCTTCAGAAAGCACTTTCTGATGCACAGTACCATGTAGATTGTCTCAGTGACCTGGTTGGCCAGAGGAGAAAGCACCTGAATAAAGCACTGTCTGAAAAGACCCAGTTTCTCATGGCAGTCTTTCAGGCTACAAACCAAATTCACCAGCATGAGAAGAAGGTAACGTTTCCAGAACACATTTGTCTGTTGCCAGAAGATGTGAACAAACAGATCAGGACTTGTAAGAATGCCCAGGCTAACCTGAAGGCCTATCAAAATGAAGTCACAGGGTTGTGGGCTCAAGGAAGAGACTTAATGAAAGAAGCAACAGAACAAGAAAAGAGTGAAGTGTTAGGTAAACTGCAAGAACTACAGAATGTGTATGACACCGTTTTACAAAAGTGTAACCAGCGGTTGTTAGAACTGGAGAAAAATATAGTTTCCAGGAAATATTTCAAAGAAGACTTGGATAAAGCTTGTCATTGGCTAAAACAAGCTGATATTGTCACATTCCCAGAAGTCAATGTAATGAATTCTAACTCTGAACTATACAGCCAGTTGGCAAAATATCAACAGATTCTTGAGCAGTCTCCAGAATATGAGAATTTGTTGCTTGCACTGCAAAGAGATGGCCAAGAAATCCTACCGTCACTTAATGAAGTGGATCATTCTTATCTAGATGAAAAACTTAACATTCTCCCTCAGCAATTCAATATTGTCACTGCTCTGGCAAAAGAAAAATTATATAAGATTCAGGAAGCAATTTATGCCAGAAAAGAGTATGCCTCTTTAATTGAGTTGACAAGTAAAGCTCTGATTGAGCTAGAAGATCAGTTTGTTAACATGGACAAAGCTCCAGCTGCTATTTTAGCCAAAGAAGCTGCGTCACTCCAGCAGGCCTACAGAGATCTCTTGGGTGAAGTGGTGAGCCTTGGTGCAGCAGTGGATGAACTAAACCAGAAGAAGGAGGCCTTTCGAAGCACTGGCCAGCCATGGCAACCAGACGAGATGTTAAAACTTGTCACACTGTATCACAAGTTGAAGAGGCAAATAGAACAGAAAATCAACCTGTTGGAAGACACAATAGAAGAATGCCAGGAGCATGAGAAAATGTGTATGCAGTTTGAGGCACAACTAGAGGCAGTGAAGAAGGAGCAGATTAAGGTAAATGAGGAAACTCTTCCCATAGAAGAAAAGTTGAAAATATACCATTCTCTGGTGGGCAGCTTGCAAGACTCGGGGAGTCTCCTGAAGCGAATAACTGAACATCTAGAAACCCTTTCCCCTCAGCTTGACTCATCTGCATGCGAGACAACGAATCACCAAGTGCAGTCTTGGCAAGAGAAGCTAAAGTCTTTGCATGCTGCCATTGGTGACACTGTGATGGAGTGCGAGAACAGACTTGTGCAAAGCATAGACTTCCAGACAGAAATCTGCCGCTCACTCGACTGGTTGAGATGGGTGAAAACAGAACTTAATGGAACATTAAGTTTGGACCTCAAACTGCAAAGCATCCAAGAAGAAATCCGAAAGGTTCAGATACATCAGGAAGAAGTGCAGTCAAGCCTGAGAATAATGAATGCACTGAGCAATAAAGAGAAAGAGAGATATATGAAAGTGAAGGAGTTGATACCTGCTGACCTGGAAAACACTCTTGCTGAGCTGACAGAACTAGATGGTGAAGTTCAAGAAGCTATACACATGAGACAGGTTAGTGTACCTAAATGTCATTAGTTTCTTGCTCACAAAGCTGAAAAAGACGGCTCTGTGGCTTGATGTTTGTAATCATCACAACATTATTTTAATACTCCTGTTGTTTGGGATTTTTTAATGACTTAGTTTGTAGCCTGTTGCCATGAATGACTTGGGCAGGAGCAGAGAGGGAAAGGCTTCCTTAATATGGATTTTTACCTGCATGTAGAAATACGAACTGACTCAAAACCTGCTTCCATATAGTCTCTCTGGACCTGTGTTTTAGATAAAATAAAGGGAAAAGAAAGCAAACACAGCCAAAATCCAGACTCTCAGCAGAGGATGTTTTTGTTGCTGCTGTGAATTTTATGTCTGTGACCTGTATAATTTTCCCTTTTATTTCAGGCTACCTTGAATAAATTATATAGCCTCTGCCAAAGATACTACCAAGTGATGCAGCTAGCAAATGACTGGCTTGAAGATGCTCAGGAATTTCTGCATTTAGCAAGAAATGGTCTTGATGTTGAAAACTCTGAGGAGAACCTAAGGAACCACATTGAATTTTTCAGCACAGAAAGTCAGTTCAGTAACCATTTGAAGGAGTTACAGGGCCTTGTGTCTGAGATAGAGCCCTTTATCCAAGCCACAGCAAGAGAGCAGCTGATGCAGAATGTAGCTGCATTGGAGGAAAAGGCCAAAGGGACAAAGCAAGAAGCCAAAACCCAGCAAGAGCAGTTACAAAGGTATTTTTTTTTTTTCTTTAAGATCATCTTGTTGGTCATGAAAGAAAGAGATCGCACCATTAACTGGATTTTTTTTTAAATGTTTGTGCTACTGATGAGAAGTAATATTGGGATTCAGAGCTCTTGGATTCTGTTTTCTGCCACTGACTGACTAGATGTGTGATCTTCAAGAAGCTGTGATAAAATGATATAAAGCTTGGAACAGCACTGAGAAGGAGAGTAGGAAATGACTGTCCCTTATTTCACCTGGCACAAGTCCTACACAGAAAGAAACGAGATAGAAGCAAACATTCTGAACTAAAAGGAAATACCTTTTTAACCAGCATAACTATCTTCTTATTCCTGAATCTTCTGGGTTCCAAAAGTTTAGGTGGGTTTAAAACACAACCTAGGCAAAGTCACTGAGGAAGAGTCAAACAAGGGCTATTAAGTGCCCAGCTGCGCCTGTAAGGTACAGCAGAAAATCAGGAGCATATGTTTCTATGTATGCTTATTCCCAGTAATCTTTCTTTTTCTTGGAAAATACTGTGTTAACAGGAAAGCCAAGCAGTTACATAGAAAACTAGGTGCAACAATATTCTTGATTTTCAAATGGTTTTATATTGCATTAAATTGTTCTTTCTGGAACTGTGTTTAAGGTGTGCTTCTGAGTGGCAGGAGTACCAAACAGCAAGACAGAAGGTTATTGAAGTGATGAATGAGGCTGAGAAAAAATTATCTGAATTCTCAGTAGCTAAAGCTGCTTCTTCTCATGAGGCAGAAGAGAAATTGCTAACACATAAGGTAAGGTACTGAAAACTACATTAAATCCTTGTCCTTCAGTGAAAGTAAATGTGTGTTATGTAGGTCCTTACATGTGGCAACCTGAATTTGAGCTTTTAGATCTTTTCCTGTAGTGTTTAACTGTGTCATAGCACACCAAGAGATGGTTTGTGTTGTGCAGAACACACATTCTATTTGTGGGGTAACCAAAACAGATATTTTTAATTGCTTTTCAGCTTAATGTCTGTCTATGTGCCTATGACTGTAGAGAACTGGAAGGAACCAGGAAGTTCCTAAAAGCCTTGGGTGCTTATAGCCCCAAATTGTATACCCTACAAGAAATTCAGGTCAACAGAAATGTCCATCTACTTTGGACTGCATGGAATAGTTTTACTAGGACAGTAAAGGTTGGGTTAATATTAACTCTTATTTAGTCTAAAAGAAAGAAATGTGACTTAAAATAATTTCTTTCTCTTACAGTGTTTAGAGTGATAATCAGTTGCCTTAATATGGGCAGTTAGTGATGCTTCAGGCGTCCTTCACGGTCTCCAGCTGTGTGTCTGTGAAGGCAGGAATCTGCCTTAACAGTAATGTCATGTCTGCCAGCTTCATTAGACTATCCTGATACCCTTGGACATCTAAAATGGCATTAAACATGACGTAAATGTATGCTTAAACACCTGAATTGCTTCTTTCATTTTTAGACTGTGATAGAAGCCAGTCTTTGCTATAAAGAGGGTCCTGAATACTCATTTCTACCCCTTTTGAGGCGCTAGCAAGGAAGAGAAAATCTGATTACGCCAGATTTCTGCTGCTTCCGGAGTGGCATTTTGGACCAGGTCCTTCAAGTAGCTGTAGCTAATATATTGCATATGAAAAAATAAAGTGAGACCTAATCCCCTCACTCAGCATAGAGTATCTTCTCTTTGTCTGCGGTGGGTAGAAGTGGCTCACCTGCCTGCAAGTGTGTTGAATAGTTATGAGCTGTGTTGTGAAAAACAGAGCTTATTTTTGCTTTTTCAGACCCTTGTGTCTGTAGTGAATTCTTTCCATGAGAAGATCACAGCCTTAGAAGAAAAGGCTTCACAGCTGGAAAAAGTTGGCAATGATGCCAGTAAGGCAACTATAAGCAGATCCATGACAACAGTTTGGCAGCGCTGGACACGTCTCCGGAATGTAGCTCAAGAGCAAGAGAAAGTTTTGGAAGATGCAGTGCAGGAATGGAAGGACTTTAATGATAAGGTAATTTCTGGTCTTGGTAAATCCTCCTTTGTTAACTGTACATAGGTTTTCACTTATTATACTGCCTTATTACTCATCTTATGGTAGAGAAAGCTGATAGCAGGAATAATTGATTTTTCTCACATTATAGAAAAAAAACAGCTATGGAAGACCTAGGTTTAGAACAACTGCCTCTAAGATTTGTAGAAAATACAGAGCTATTTTGGTTTCTGGTGTTTCTTCAGAATCTTGTCCACTGTTTCCCTTCCCCAGATGATCAATTCTAGATTAATTCAACTTCTTTTTCTTTTTCTTTTTTTGTTTTTTTCCCCTGAAGAGTATGAAGTTGCTGTTTCTAAGTTTATGCAGTGTTATTGCCTATCACTAATCATGTGTCTCCTTTTTTTTCCTTATATCCTACCTGACTCTTTCTATCTGTTGTTGTCCATTATTTTATTCTCAGATTGCAGGTTCTCTGGGAATGGTGATCAACTTTTTGTTAAATGTATGACTTGTGCCAAATTCGGGTCTGACGGGGATAAAGCTCTAGGTCCTATGCAATAAAGATAATAAATGCTAAAAAATACGAGCAGCCGCTTGTCACTTGACAAAAAAGTCCCATAACAAGTCGTAGTCCACTGTGAAGAGCTAGGGCTAGCTAGCTAGATCTAGCGCGTTAGAGCATAGGTTTATATCTGCTATAGAAACCGCTGCACAAGTCCTATACCACAGCTGTTTCACAGTATCTAAATGTACAGCACTGGGTTTAGCCCCTTTTGGCATCAGTTGTACTAGCTTCTTTTTAATTTCATTATTACCTAGACTGCGTCTCTTTCCGTAGATTCAGAAAGCCACTGTAGCAATAGATCAGCTACAAGGTCGCTTACCAGAAAGCTCAGTGGAAAAGGCATCCAAGTCAGAGCTCCTGGAACTCCTTGATTACCACAGCAATTTTCTTCTGGAGGTGGATCACCAGCTGTCATCTTTGGGTCTGCTTAAACAGCACGCTGGCAGCATGCTTCAGGATGTGGAAGTAAAGTCTCTGTCTCAGGAGGAGCTACCGGTCGTGCAAGAAATCAAAGCAATGCAAGATCGATGCCACAAGTAAGGCAATATTTCAGAAGATTCAGTAGAAAAATGGTATCTTACAATTCATTAATAAGAGTTCTCGTATTATTTTTGTTATCATGCTTAAAATAAATATTAGTTATTATTTAGTTTAATTTTAAGTTATCTTTAATTAATTTTGAAATATTTTTACTATTTTTTATTTCCATCACCCAGAGTACGCATTGTAGAATATGTACCTCTTGCCTTGCATAATAACACTAACTTATGTAAGAGTTGTATAAACTACATGGAAGTTATAACTGATTTTAAACACTTTCATTGCATCTCAATGTTAACAGTGACCTTTTTAGTTTATCACTTTGTTTCCCCCGTTGGAAGCACTTAGGTACCAAAAGTAGGTATCCTATGAAATTTACAGGAGAATTTAGTGCATATGCAAACAAAATATATCTTAACATTTCACTCTGTGGTTATATGAATGTTTATCTAAATATAAAATGTTTCTCTGTCATGTATAACACAGAAAGTTTTATCGTTACGTTTCAGAACTCGTATCTACCTTGTAACTGCAGTAAGATGCTAATAACTGGATCTCCACAGTGGGGAGAGAGATAGGGAATGAAAAATCTGTAAACCCTGCACCTCACCTGTGCAAAGTTCATTGTGTGCACACAACTGATTACAGTAGAACAGCAATTCCTGGGGAAAATGTGTAGATATTAGTACTTCTGTAATTCCATTCTTCCCTTAGAATTGGTTTCTAACAAATAGGGTCTGTGATGATCTCATGCTCATGATCTCATGATAAGGCACAATTCAGCTATGAAAGGTTATGCAAACATAAATCAAATACGGGAATATCTAAGTAAGATCCATGTCATGTACATAAGAGCTACGAGTAGCCCTGTAGATCTTTCACAGAGCTGTCATCTGAAACGTATTCTAATTTTTACAGGAGATGGAAATTCTTCAGGAAAGTGGGGAAATTTTGTCTTAGTGGAAGTGTGGAGATAGGTCCCTGTATCAAAAATGATGTTCAGATGTTTGATCCATGCCTTATCCTAGGTACTCTGCTAATCCCATCAATAGATGTGGAATTTATCTCACAATATTTTAGATTATAGATATCCTAATCTGAACTGATTCTTGCTCTCTTAGTGGAGAGAAATAGACAGGTCTAAGATACAGGTTTTCTGCCCTATTTTAGAAGTTTATTTTAGAACAATGACGAATCATCCTAAATCGTGCCCTAGAATTGCCTGCTTCCTCCACTGACAATAAGGGCAGTGTGTGTTGATGAGCTCACAGGTAGGTGTCTGGATTATAAACATCTGCATTTCTTCAAAAGAATTGTGTGCTCGATGTCAAAGTGCATAAAACTGCTAATTAAAAGGAATGAAACTAAGAATGAACATAAGAAATGTAAGCGTGCTGCTTTAGTAGTCTGTTGCAACACTGCCCCACTTTTTATTACTCTGGATGTGGGGCCAGCAATCATTATCAATATTATTCATTTTTTGACAAAGCCATGTTTTTAGACATTGCTTAATTTTTCACAAATACTTATTGTTTCTTTGTTTTGGAAGTATGCAGCAGAAAGTGAAAAAAGGTGTGAAGATGGTGAAACAGGAGCTGAAGGAGCGCGAGGAGGTTGAAGCAGAGATTAATGTTGTGAAGTCCTGGATCCAGGAAACAAAAGAATATTTATTAAGCCCTGATGCAGAAGTGGATACTCAACTTCAGGAGCTGCAGGTATATCAAATTTGTCAATTACTGTATTAAACTATTTATCTTCATTGAAATCTGCTACTGAGTGTTAATCAGTTCAAAAGCACCATGAATTCAAACTAGACATTATTCATTAGTTTTTGAGTGAACTACTAGACAAATTCATAAAGCATAAAGTAGCTGATGGGCTGTAATACCTTATTTTAAAGTTATTTAATAGATGTTTAAGTATTTGCATTTGTGGAATTGTATGTACTAGCATATTGTCTAGTAATTGTTCTCATCTAATATATGGGGGAACTATAGAATGTGAATGGACAGAACATGGTATTTCTTTTCTATCTCAGCAGTCAGGGGTGGGAAGGGAAGCAACGAAATTAAATAAACTTATTTCACTAGAGGTGCTGAAAGCTTGACATTTTCTATGCACATGTGGTCACACAGGAACAAAGAACTAGACAGACAGTCATAAATGAGAATCTAGGGAATGCCAAGATAAAATTCTTTTTAATGAACTGATTAAATATCTAAAAGCATTTGCTTTGTTGTAAGCTGCATGTAATGCCTGCATTTGCTAAGTTTACACAAACGTTTTTCCCATTGTTCTTAACAATACTGTTTTTCTGTCATTAGTCTCTCCTTGGTGAAGTAATTACTCATCGCCAGGCTGTTGAAAAAATGGCTGAACAACAACAGAATAAATACTTGGGGCTTTATACCATTTTGCCTTCTGAACTCTCTCTTCATTTAGCAGAAGTTGGGCTGGCCCTTGTAACTGTACAGGATCAGGTAAAGCATCGTGGATAAATGCAATACAGATGTATAGCATCTACAGAATACTACAGAGTATACAGTCTATATTTGTTAGACTTTATAACTTATTGAAATACAGTATTCAAGTGTGGTCAAACTATGACCACGTAGAATAGTTTTATTAGCTTCTTCCTTTAATTTGAATTAAGTTAAATTGAAGTTAATTTCCTTTCAGGAGGAGAGATTTCTGGTTACTGAATTTAATTCTTATTGCTCACAGATTCAAACCAAAGAAAGAGAAACTCAGCAGATCAAAACATTGAATGAAGAGTTTGGTCAGAAAATCCAGGGGGTAGCAAATGAACTAAATGCCATTCTTTCCAAACTGAAAAAGAAAACAAATGATATAGCAGAAGCTAAACTGGAACAAAAGGTAAGACTAGGCTTCCCTTATTTGATTACACAGTGAATTCTTCTGAATTGGGACGCTCACTTCATACCAAAGTTGTATTTGTGCAGACTGGCATGACATGTTTTTTAATGTAGTTCAACAGAAGAATGGACAGAAATAAGAGTTGACTGATGAGATTTTTTTATTACATTCTTTGCAAACTAGTCCATACAGGGACTTGAGTGAGTTACAGAACTTGAGGAAGTAGCTGAGAGTAAAAGCAAGTCAGATGGACAAAGTTATGCTGTTCCCTCTAAATAATGAGTATGACCGCAATCTGGGAAAGCGTAAGGGGCTCCCAGACTGCTCCTTGTCCCAGTCTGTACTGGAAAGACCATTCTTTACAGTATACCTTTAATTGCAATAAATAGAATTTTACTCATCCAGTAGTCCATCTCATATAATTTGGTACAATAACAATGTAATGTACTACTAGTGCAGTTAAAGGCAATGCAAAGGACTCTTGGTTGTTCTTGTAGGTTTTCTTAATCTTAGGTATGTACCACACTCAGAAAAGCTCATCTGTACTGAGGTGTAATGGCCAAGATAGGATTATCATATGAGAGTATGGGATCTTTTGAGGGGGAGAGATGGGGGAGGAGTTGATTGAGGGTTGGGGTTTTTTTTATTTGTTTTGTTTTTTTGACTAGTCAAAGATAAACTTGACCAAGTCACTGTATGAAAGTAAGCAAGGCATACCAAAAAGGAGAAGATTTGGCATGTCTGGTATGTCAAAAATGACCTGTTTATTTTCATGAGTTGCTCTCACTGTGTTCCAAAGTACCATTTGCTTTGCAGGAGATGTCACTGAAATATCCCTTTAAATTTGGTGTATCTCCTTGATTCCAGTAATTAAGAAGAAAGCCTGTGAAATGTGCTTTGCAATGTTGCATAGACGAAAACTCTCTCTCACTGGAGATTTAGTAATGTTCCCTCAACTGCGTTTATGTCAGCACTCAGCTGATACTCCTGAGATTGGGCTGACTTTAATTACAGCAGCAAGTATTTTTATATTGGTATTGAAACTGATGGTGAAAAGTAAAATAAAAATCTGTTTGAAATCCATGTGGCCTGTCAAATGGATCCTTCCTCACGTTTAAACGCGTATGAATTCTGCATCATTTCTATAGTAGAGACATTTATTTATGCCTACCTGAAGTATGTGTGTCTTTGTATTTAGATTAGTAGTTCAACAATCAGTCTTTATGTCTACATGTAGACATTATGTCACTAAGTTTATGGAATAATATTTGTTTATCATAACAATTGATCATAACTTAAACTCTAAGGTGTGTCTGCCAGGACAGCCCTAACCTGAAGGGCTTGATGTTGCTTCTTGAAGCACCTGTAGCTAGAGCAGTGTTCTGAATGAATTTTTGTCTGATGATTGCTATTTAAATTTCTAAAAATAATTGGAAATGGGCTGGAGTGTTTAATGAGACTTATTTTATTTGTATTGAAAAACAATGAATCATTAACATGTTGGGTATAAAATCCAAATACAAAAAACCCCAATATTCCCTCCCCAGGAAACTTTAGCCCATAAGTGTGTTATCAGTCTATGAGAAGCATAGAAAACCTTTTCAGTTTCCTTTTTAAACTTTTCAGAAACTTTGGTAAAGGAAACCTGATTTTAAAATCTGTTTCTATTGAAGCAGCCTAGCACGATCCAAACTGCGCCACTATCAAGATCAAGCTATGAAAATGCAAGTTTCAAATGAAAATGAAAGATTTTATAATGCATTAATGAGTAATTACATATTTCTGAGTTTTTAAGGGTATATTTTAGACAGCAAAAAACCCCACAACCCCTTTCCAATAAATAAAAATCCTGTCATAGCAATGTCTGCTCACCATTCATTTCAAAAACAAGCACAGAAAGATGGCCAAGAACAGTTAAACTCACTCTGAAGTGACTCAGTCTTTTGCTGTGGTAGGGAAAATGGTTATCCGTTTCAGCCAGGAAGTCGGAGAAGAAAGAGAAATGGCACACATTTAAGAGATGAGCAAACATCCTGCTGTTCTGCCTTCCTGCTTAGACAAGCATTGTTGATTTCCAGCCAGCATAAAAAAGGAACAAACTATGGAGACTTTGGACAGGGTATAAAAGTTGCAAGTTGGACTGCAAATAATCAGTCAGAAAGCGAACACTTGCTGGATCTCTGATTTTCTTGTTTTTCTGCCTAGATGCTTGGTGAAGAGTTGGACAACTGCAATATAAAGCTGTTGGAATTAGATGCATCAGTTCAGGACTTTGCAGAGCAGAACGTGCCACTGGCTAAGCAGCTGGCTAACAGGATAGGAAAGCTCACTGCATTTCACCAACAGACCGTACGGCAGGCTGAGTACAGAGCAGCCAAGCTCAGTCAGGTATGATCTCAAATCCTTTCTGCTGTTCCCTTTCAGAAGAACGAGCATGCAAACTTCTCGTTTATTTTCCTGTAGTTATGCAAGAAGGGGCATTCCTTGGCACATCTGCCTATTATTAGTCAGGGCTTGCATCAAACCTCAAAGAGAGGCACAGACGGGTCAGATTGGGAGGGAATAATTCTGTGGTGCTGCTTTAATATCCTCTTCCGTGAATCATCTGCTGGTTGGTTCCTCTGGTGCCCTGAAAAGATTATAGACCTTCTCACAAACAGTAGCATGCCAGGAAATAGTATCTCGTACTTTTCAGAGCGTATGTCTTATCATTGTCACCTGTATTTGCAACATTAAAAAAAAAAAAATGACACAAAATCAACCAGTTTTGCGCTAGCCACAATCTATAGAGGGTGAATATAATTTGTGGATTCAATAGAAAAGCCTAGATACAACAGCCCTGATAGTGCATAATGTTTGTGCAATGTTTCAGCATTCGTAAAGATGCTTCCCCTGTGGTTTAAAGTGGTTTAAAGTCACTGAAACTCTTTCTTATGTATTTTTTTACTAATTGTTATCCCAAAAAAGTCTAGCTAAATGCAAATAGATTTGCTATGGTTCTGCCATCAATGCTCTGGTAAATTCTTTTCTGCATGCATAAAGAAGCTTCTGTAAGGCTCGAAAAAGATAACTATTTCATGATACTCTCTTCAGTTTCCTCTGAAAAATTGTTTTTAAAAGAAGTATCAAAGTTATCTACCAAAGTAAGAGTTCAGTCAAAGGTACTTGGTGAAGGGATTTAACCGTTAGGATATTTTTGTTCAGCACCGAGAAATCCACTTCCTATCATAAAAAATGATAGGTAAGGCAAACTGCATGCAAAAACAGTCAGTCACCCAGGATTTGATCCATCCTTCATACAGGGAAACATGCAGGAAAATCAGTGAAGTTATTCCTGCTAAGAGAGAAGAAAATTGGAACTAAAGAGTACTTTGCTAAATAGAAGTCGGACGAATAAGAAAGCTGAGCTTTTGTCCTGCATTTTGAAATATGTGCAACATTTCTCTTTTTGGAAATATGACAGACTGAGTGGGCAAAGCAGGTTTTAGAAAAAGGTCATTTGGGGGATGACATGGAAAGAGACAAACTAAAATAAGGAATGATGTAAAGGAGGCTTGTAGTGAGCTACAAACTGAGTAAGAAGGTGTTTTGGAACTTACATGTGAGGCTGAAATATGTACAGGAAGCGTAACTTCTGGGGATGTATTTGGGCATCAATGCACTCTCCCAGTGTGACCTACATTCTTAAAGTGCCTTTTTTCCCCTGAAATAGATGTGCTTGTTACTGGAAACAGATCTATTTTAACTCCATAAAAACAGAAGTAATTAAGTTATATTCATCAGTAAGGAAAAGTTGTTAAAATGATCCCTAAGTTTAAAACAGTAAATGAAATAAAATTAGTTTTGTCATTATCTAAGAACAGAATTACATCTTAGGCTTAAGTGTTTTTTTTTTTCTTTTATATCCAGGCTGCTTCACACTTGGAGGAATACAATGAGATGCTGGAGTTCATATTGAAATGGATTGAGAAAGCAAATATACTAGTGCACGGTAGTATAACATGGAATTCTTCCTCTCAACTTTGTGATCAGTTTAAAGCCTACCAGGTGATTATATGACCTATGAAATTTAAAGGGTGGTGTATAAAAGAGTTATTTTCTAAGCAGTAAGGTTTTATTTTATACACCTTTCTTGCCTCCTTTCCTTGAGGAAAAAAAGGTGTTAAAATGCTGGGTTTCTTTGACTGTTCCACCAAGTCTTAAAGATTATTAATTTCTTTTGGACAATTGTTTTGAAGACTGAAATTAAGATATATTGTTGAATAAAACTACACGATTGTCTATATGCTGTTATTCTGTGGAAGTCATTGCAGCTAGTATTCCTCTATTTTCAGTCTGTTATTCTGGGTTTTTTTCTGTCTCCTTTACACTAATTTGGAATAGGCTTTGTTCTCATCAGATGAGTTCCACACCAAATGTTCTCAGACTGATACCCAATGGATGGGTTCCTTCCAGTTGCCTCCTGAACGTCTCACATCTAGTTGATTCACTGTCCCTATGACAGTGCAATTTGTTCCTTGGGTCTGTGTCTGGAATGAAGTGGGATCAGTGGAGCAGTTTGATAAGGTTCAAGCTTGCCCAGGCTTACATGACCGTGTGAAACAAATCAAAGGATCATAAGATGATTGTGTTTCACTAATGCCAAAATAAGACTGCATTAATTATGATTTTTATATATACATTAGTTAATTGTCAGCTGCTTTCACTTACATTGGGGCATTGTAGTATGTCACACTTTCTTATTCTGAATAGGAACCTCCAGGCAATTTATCCTGAGGATAGCTAGGAGATTGCACTTCTGTTTTGGTTTTGCTATGGCTTTTTCCCTGCTTCAATAGTTGATGAGGATATGGGCTTAACCAATGCCATCCCACAGAACACTTTGGTAGCCGTTTTTAGGCAGAATTAATGACTGCTGCCCTGCTATAACACTGCACCCAAGTGCTTTCTTCTGCTTCTCATTTAGGTACATTTGGCTTCCAGAAAAAATCCTATCCATAGATTGTGTGTATTATATTCTTATAGGCAAATGTGTTTACCAAAACACTAAATTGAATGTGTTGGTAATTAGAACTGCTGAAACATCATGACTTACTCTTTTATTTCCTAGTGTCCATAAGCCGAAGCACTTCAGCATACACTCAGAATTAAGCATATTGCCTAAGCCTTACAGGAAATCAGTGAAACTTAATCATGTGCTTATAGATGTGTTCAAATTGAGGAGTTTGCAGATGAGGAATATACTTAAAGATATGTTTAATCTGAAGCTCAACTCTGGCATTCAATTTGTTCATGTTTCCATCTAGACTATGCTTGATGAGTCTGGAGAGATTCATGGGGACCTTGAGGCCATGAGTGAGAGGATTGAGTATCTGGCAAGTGTATACTGTACTGAAGGAATGTCACAGCAAGTGCTGGATCTGGGGCGGCGGACAGAGGAATTGCAGCAGGTTATCAAAGTGCGGCTACCAAGTCTCCAAGATGCTGCTAAGGTACATGAAAGCAGTTTTTCTAATGCTGGCTGACAGCTTGGGTGGTTTCTGAGACCATTAGCAGTGCAGATTATCTGTGGTCCATAAAAGGCGTGACTGTTGTCTGAAGTTAGGTATCTTGTGCTATTTGAGATTCAGGTGCTGTTCCAGACAGGGACAAGATTCCTGCAGGCCCTGACGTATCTGCCCATTCTGGATGGATGTATTGGGGATCATGGTGTGTCTCAAATGGCACTGAGCACCTATGTTTAGATACTGGTGACATTTCCTTTATTTTTCTCTTAAAAGATATTTAAAGCCTGCTATCTATTAATTCAGATCAGTACCGGACCTACAAGAGAATGCAATGGAAAGAATGAATGTGCTTTTTCATGTCCATGATGTTTCTGTGCAGCTCTTCCATCTGGGTTTATTGTTAATGTAAATGTGTGTTATGCCTATGCAATGCCTGAGGACATGATAAAATGGTGCAAGACACAAGGAAAAACACAGAAGTCTTTTCTACTTGCTCTTATATTCAGGGCAAGAAATTTTACCTTAAATTGATACAATAATTCAGGGAAAAATGAATATTGGAATGGTACAATTAGTATATTTATAGGAGTTCTGCTGTCACCTGCTACAGTTACGCACTGCTGAATAGGAAAATGCCTAAAGGCAACTGAGAGAATAGGCTATCACCAATTGTTAGGACAATCACAGCTAAGGTTAAAAATGGTCCTTCTCCACATTTGACTCTTATTTCACAACATTTATAGGACATAGCAGAAATGCTGCAGCTGTAACAGTGTAACAGAGAGGTTGTTCCATTACAAGTCACTAAATGACAATTTATAAACTGAAGGCTTTTATTTATTTTTTTTAATTTATTTTTCGTGGAACAAACCAGAGATTTGCATACAAGTAAGTATACAAGAAGTGAAACTTACTAGCTTCAGTTCTCAGAAAAGTATTGGAACAATTGAATAAACTATTTGTAAATTCTTATAAGAAAGCGTGGAGATGCATAGAAGCCAACATATATTTATGAAGAAAGAAAATTATATCGTAAGTGTCCCGTTTAATGTGAAAGTAATAGATAGATTTGTCTATAAATGTACAATATGTCTTGACTTTAATAATGTTTCACATTATATTGTTATTAACAACATTAATAAGCTTATCTAGTTAAAAATACGATAGGTAGATGTAAAGCTAGCTAGAAAACTTACCTGGTGTGTAATTATCAATGGTTCACAGCCCAAAAGGAGAGATACATCAGGTAGTGCTTTGTAGGGTTCTTTCTTGGATCTGGTACTATTCAGTATTTCAATTAATGAGTTGGATGGTGGTTTAGAAATCGTGACTGGCTTTTAGGATGCTTAGACAACACCAAATATACAGGGACTACCTGAAAAAAATTAGGCTGCTGTTCAACAGAGACAGGCAAATTGTTACATTTAGATAGGAAGAACCAGGCACGTGTTTCTCTGAATGAGGAACTACTGGTTTGATGCACCCTGTTGAAAGGTCTTAAGTTTAATAATGTGGATCATGGAAAGGTCTTAAGTTTAATAATGCGTATCATGGAAAAATGAGTGAACAATGTCACATCGTTGTAAGAAATCCAAACACCACATGGAAAATAAAGTATATACTTGTAAAGCATGCGAAGTAGTCCTTTTGTTCTATTCTACCTTTACTTCCAGTCCACCTGTTGGTCACTAGCGAGGTTTCAGCTGTGTCCTGTTTTGTACTTGAAGATGTGGACTGACTGGAGAAAGAATAGAGGATAGTGATGACTGTGATATGTGTATACATTTGTAGAAAAGATGCATAAAAAAGGATTATCCTAATATACGATGTATTCAGAGATAATAAAAATAATTTTTTCTTCATGTCTGTTGTTAATGGGATAGTAAGTAGAGGATTGAAATTGCCACAAAAGATAACTTCGTGTCAGACCATCAGAAAAAACCTTCTACAAAAAAAGAGTACTGAAATAGTGGAATATATTGTCTGTAAAGAGAAGTTGGACTCCACTGCTAGTGGTCTTTAAGAACACTCTGTAAAGATATGATAGTTATGTCCTGTCTTATTACAGGAAGATGACTAGAGGACATCTTGAGTTCCTTTCTAGGCCTCAAACTTTATGAAATTAGCTTTATAAAGTATATGCTGTAGTTGAGATTGAGGAACTACTTAAGATAATAACTCTGTCTTTGACACCTCTTTTTCTAGACTGATATTTTTATCCAATATTTTAAACATTTAAAATTCATTGTTAAAACTATGAATCAGTTTTGGCACTGTATATAAAGGATATAGCTACAAAATCCAGACATATATTTGTAGTGATTTTTTTTTCCTTTTTATTTTTTTTCTTTTTCTTATTTTTCCCTGAATCAAATGTATTGTGTTACAGGACATGAAGAAATTTGAAGTTGAGCTGAGAGCCCTGCAGGCTGCTCTGGAGCAAGCCCAAGCCACACTGACCTCTCCAGAGCTCGGGCATTTGAGCTTGAAAGAGCAACTTTCTCACAGACAGGTAAAAGGCTGGGACCTCAAAGTTAGCACCTGAGTAGTGTGAGCTTACGCAAAGAATAATGAATGTTGGTGAGACTGATTGTGGTGTTTCTCTAGGTGGATCATTGTTTTGGAGTCTAGCCCCAAATTACTGCCAAGGGAATAAGAGATGGAATGGGAAAAATCATTCAAAGGGAATGGTTCAAATATAATCCTTTATGAGTCTGTTAAGCCCAGTTACATTTTTGTGTGCTTATCTCCATCAGATATTGCTGCTTTCTGTATTGCACTTGGCCTACTGTAGGGATTTGTCAATTTGTTATTTTTTGGTCTCAGTGTCATGACAAGAAAAATAACCCAAGTTATAGCTTTCTGAGTTGCTTAAGAAATGTTTCTTGCTGCAAGCTAATATGAAGATTTAACTGTCTTAGTCTGCCAGTGAAAACTAAACATCAACAGGTCCACTTCAGTATTAAAATCTGCAGAAAAACATATGGATGAAAGGTAAATTTGCAGAGATTTCCCTTTTGATTAAAATATGCAGTCTTTATTCTAGGGACTTGCAGTCAAGTTTCAGAATATGGCACTGAAGAGTGTAAGTGAAACACATCACCCACCATAAGAGTAAAGGAGTATGGAGTTTACACTGTTTGTTATGTGTATTCTTTGTTCTGGCTCTAGCAGGTCTCACAATATGACTTGCTTTTGTACAGAAGGGGATCGTAGCCCCTGCCCACCTGTTTCACCAGACCGGATAGGGGTCCTGGAGAGTGTCTGGCTGGCATGCAGCCCCCAGAGTACCTCTGGGTGCCAATTGCACAGTAAAGGCACCCTTTGCCAGCAGTATGGGGCCTGCCAGAGGAAAGGCTTCACTAGTGACGTCTGAAGAACAGGTCATTATACCAAATCTCTGATTAAACTATCTACCATATGTCATGAAGGCACAGAAATAAAGAGCAAACCGCAACCATCTCATCAGTATGCACTTCAGACCCACTTAGCTATCCTTCTGCATACGACATAGGGGAAGGGAGATGACCAGTCTCTTTATCCCTGTTTGCCACATGCATTGTCTAGCTGATTTATATCTGTTGAACTTAAAATCTTTTTCTAATGTGCTAAGGCCTTTTCATCACCTTTGCTTTTTTTTTTACAATTGTTTTTCTTTTTATGTCTGTGAATACATTCAACTCCCCAGTGAAGATAAAAGAATGCTGATCAAATCTATTCTCCAGTCATTGCACTTAGGCCCTTCTCATGCATATGAACGGACAGCTTGAATGGACATTGTGAATGAAATAGAAACTATTAAGAAAGGCATCCAGTGCATGATTATTCAAAGGAAAAGATTTCTGTGTAGCTGTGTTTCTTTCTATTTGATTGCCTTTTGAATTTTGAGCAACTTTTTCAGCCATGGTTTGTGTTTTCAAAGCAAGGCTGTGAACACAAGATTCATTTGCTGGTTTGAAGATGTGCTTCTGTGTCTCAGCAGGGAATTCCACTCAGATTTTAACATTAAAATATATGTATCTGTAAATCCCTGCTATGCTGCTTTGATTTGTGGATTTTGTAAAGATATTTTCTCAAATATGTTAACAGAAGGGTTTTTTGTACTTAGACACTTAGAAATAGGTACTGCTATGCTTTTTCATGAATTATTTTTATTCCTATTACATGGCCTTTTTGCTTAACTAATATTTAAAAGAATGCTCATTTCAGAATTGATGAATCCCAGACAAATTATGTCCTGATGTTATTCAACTTAGAAAATAGGTAATCAAATTTGTTTTAGTGCTTGAGCTCATCGTAGTTTTTCTTTTGCTGCCTGAAATTCTCTGGGAGTTCTGCAAAACTGGCTTATTGTGGCACTTTGTTTCTAGCATCTGTTGTCTGAAATGGAGTCACTGAAACCAAAAGTTCATGCAGTACAAGTCTGTCAGAGTGCCCTGAGGATTCCTGAAGAGGTGGTCACCGGCCTGCCAATGTGCCACAGTGCCCTCCGGCTCCAGGAGGAGGCCAGCCGCCTGCAGCACACTGCCATTCAGCAGTGCAACATCATGCAGGCAAGTGTAACTCCATCCCATAAGGTACTCTGAGTAGTGTGAACAGAGCCATACTGAGGTGGTTTGACCCTGGCTGGATGCCAGGTGCCCACCAAAGCTGCTCTATCACTCTCCCTCTCCTCAAAATAAGAGAAAAATAAAACAACAGGCTTGTAGGGTCGAGATAAGGACAGGGAGATCACTCCGCATTTACTGTCACGGGCAAAACAGATTCAACTTGGGAAAAATGTAATTTATTGCCAATTAACTCAGAGAGAAGTAACTAGATAAAACCAAATCTTAAAAACACCCTCCCCCCACCCCTCCCTCCTTTCCCAACTTAACTTTATTCCAAATTTCTCCCCCTGCAGAGGGGGAGGATGGAGACAGGGAATTGGGGTTGGGGTCAGTTCATCACACTTCTTTCTGCCACTCCTTCCTCCTCAGGGGGAGGACTCCTCATACGCTTCCTCTGCTCCAACGTGGGGTCTCTTCTCATAGGAGACAGTCCTCCATGACTTCTCCAG